TTTATGAATTTCTATTCCAGCATGGAAGAATTGCTTTTGAGACCTTCCTTAGATGATTTATGAGTGAATGTGAATTTGTCTGCTAAATCTCCAAATATAATTTTCTGTGGATTAAAAAAAAAGTCAGAGATCAAGGTACTGCTGTGGACATTGGGAACCTCCACTAGAATTATGAGCTTGATCATCAGTATTGAAAAATTTGCCTTTTCAAGATACCAGCATCTTGTCCTTAGATTTCATGATTCACTATCCTTCCTTTCAGTGTCTTCTTCCATGTCTTTTCTAAACTTGAATTTGTCTTCCTAATTCCTGAGCTAAAGGATCTCCAATGTTGCTAGCATTCCTGCTGCACACTTCCCACGTATTAAGATGACAGCTGCATAATCCTGAAACACATTCCTAACATGGTGCATGGTAACATGCTATTATGTCCCAGGAATTTAATTGCAGCTGCTTTCTAGCATCATCTTGGGGTGATTCAGTCACATTAAATATGTTAGTAGAAAGTGGCCAGGATATAAATATACCAATGAATAACATAAAAGCAAATCTGATTAATAAAAATATTTGGGGGACCCAGTAGACTTAGCCTACCCGAAATCACATCCTATTGACAAATGTCCTAATACAGCTGCCTCCCATTTGGAGAAAGAAAAGGCAATCTGGAGGTACCTGTAGAAGTAACATGTGTCTGACAGGAGCTAGCCTGACATAGAGGTCAGTAGGCAAAATAAAAATGAATTGCTTTTCTCTCTTTGCCCATACTGAAGACCCTTGGCTTTAATGTACTATTTTTATGATATAATTTCTTCTCAGTGTAATTACTTAATGCAATAGTTCATTCATGTAAATTAAGTTCAATTTTATGTGTGTGTGTGTGTGTGTGTGTGTGTGTGTGTGTATTTATTTATTTATTAAGGCACCATGCTAGTTCTACGTGTGAAACGCAGAGGGGTGAAGGGGAGTAATGTGAAGTAAAATAGGAAAAACAGTTTGGGCCAGATTATGTAGGACTTTCCATGTGAAGCTGTGAGTTAGTGTTTTATCCTAGAAGAAATAGGAATTCTTTGAGGAGTTTGAGAAAGGGGAGTGGCATAGTCATGCTATTCCATCTCCTTAGTCCACACTTTGCATTAGCCGTACCCACAACTGTAATATACTCCCTCCTCATCTCTTCCTCTTAGAATCCTTTGCTTTCTCTAAATCTTGGGTCACCATCACCTTCTACATCAAGACTTTACTGATCCTACCTGCTCTTGGTGCCTTCCCTCCCAAAATTACCTTGTATTAAGTTTCTATATATTCTATATATACTTACTGCCTTCCCCACCTCCACACCAACCTTCTGAACTCCTGGGGTTCTCTCCACCTGGAGGTTGACTCAAGCACTGGCTGGATTCCAGTTGACTGGAGCTGCCACAGTATGAGGAAACCCAGCTACCCTGATTTGTTTCCACTTCCAGCTCACTCTCTGGCCTATTGCACTACCACACTGGCCCAATTCACCTCCATACCTACTACCAAACCCTCTATTATGTCATTTAAAAAGTTCAAGAGACATGATTTCTGGGTAATTAATCATTTCATTAATAATGCTAGCATTTCATTAATAAAAGCAATGGTCATTTAGCTATCTCTGTCTTGGATCAAAGACCCCTCATGGTTATGGGCTCACAGTTTACATGTCCTTGATGGTGTCAATCAACTCCAAATGCTTAACAAGTAAGGAGAGAGAAAATGAATATTACATTGAGTTGGAACTATTTCAATAAGAAGCTGGGGGATGTAATGTATGTAATTAGTAAAAATGTAATTAATTAAAAAAATGACATTATGTCATTTACTTCTAAATTGCCCAGCCTTGGGCAACCTATTCAAAGAATTTATATCCCCCACCCAGGCTTGAGCAGAACACAAAGAGCCAGAGTTTCACCTTAGATTAAATTCCTTGTAAGGCTGGGTAGGACAGCAAAATCTAGAATGAAAAGAATGTCAATCCAGTCTGCCATCACCAGTCCTATCCTACTGAGCCTTGACATGAGGACTTTAGAAAAAAGGGCAGAACTCTGGATCTCCCCAAATCATTGGTTATTAATAATAATTGTACTCTCCTTTCCTCCTATGCCCAGTTCCCAGCTCCTCCTTTTAGAATATAAGCAACTTCAGAGTGGGAACCATCTTGTTTCCTCATTTTTATATCCCCAGCACTTAGTACAGTGCCTAGTATGTAGTAAACACTGAATAATTGTTCTTTCTAAGGCCATCTGTATAAGTAGGTAGAATTGACAGTTACTATCCTGTTAGATTACAGCAAACTCAAGTAAAAGGCTATGGGCAGCATGCAGAACAGAAAATATCTATCCATCTGTCAGTCAGTCCGTCTGTCTGTCTGTCTGTCTATCTATCTATCTATCTATCTATCTATCTATCTATCTATCTATCTATCTACCTATCTATCTATCTACCTATGTATCTATCTGTCTATCTATCCATCTATTTATCTAAGCCATTGGAATCAATATAATTACAGTAGGAGATGTAGGACCAAAAACATAGAGCCTTGGAAGACATTCAGTATTAGGAGCCTGAAGGAGAAAGATAAATTGCCAAAGGAGATTAAAAAGGGATAGTCAGATTTGCCAGTTTGACCAGTTTGAGCCTTGATTCCCTCTCTGACCCTGAGATCTCATTGCCATTCTTACCCTGCTTCTCCAGCCTTACTCAGATATACCTTTCCCATAGTCTGCTTTGGGATTTCTTTCGCCTATCTGGTACTGGGCAGCTAGGTGGCTTAGTGGGTAGAGTTTTGGTCTAGAGTCAGGAAGACTCATCTTCAAGGAGTTCAAATATGGCCTCAGACACTTATTAGCTCTGTGACTCTATTTTTGCCTCATTTTCCTTATCTGTCAGATGAGCTGGAGAAGGATACCATTCTCCAAATGGTATCACAAAGAGTTGGACACAACTGAACAACAACCTGGTACTAGTTTCTATATTCCTCCTGATACAAACCACCTAGTTCAGTTCCTGAAACTTCAACAATCACTTAGATTAGAGGTGTTAAATATGTAACCCATTGCTTCCTTCAGCACTCCTGAGTACAGCCAAACCAGATTAAAATGTGATTAGGAAATACTCAACAAAAATAAAAATATATAATAGAACAATATTAATATGTGGCTTTCTAAGTAAATATGTGGCTTGTGAGGAGCCTTATTACTGCAACTAGGTGACACAGTGGATAGAGTGCTGTGGGTGGAATCAGGAAGACTCATCTTTCTTCATCAAATCTGGCCTCAGACACTTACTAGCTGTATAACCCTGGGCAAATCATTTAACACTGTTTGCCATCATCTGTAAAATGAAGATGGAAAAAGAAATAGCAAACTGCTTCAGTCTCTTTGCCAAGAAAATCCCAAATGAAGTCGTGAAGACTGAGACGTGACTAAAAAATGATGTCCAGTACATATCCGCAATCAGAACTTGAACATAGAAGTTTATTTTATTTTAAAAGGGTGGGGGCACATTTCCTTTTCCCATGGAGTTTACAATTTAAATTAGATTGATATGCAAATAGGCAAAGCAGAACAGCAAATATGAGAAGAGTACCGTTGTTCCTAACTCTGAGGATCAGGCCACTTTGCTTGGTTCGTCTGAGTTTTAAATCTATCCAGGAATTAGTCTGATCCATTCAGACCTTATTATTTAATTAGATCTCAGGTAAATTTGCCTTACTTCTGGGAGTTTTTGTTCCATTTTTGGACAAATTTAATCAGACATTTTGATTAAACAGCAACGGAAAATTGTATTTCACAATGTATATCCTGGTATTATTTTAAAAAGCAATTTTATTAATATATTTTGGTTTTGTATCACCTGGATTTTCCAGTATATTCCCTATCCCCTTGTCTTTCTTCCTGAAAGCCATCCCTTATAATGAAGAATAAAAAGTAGAGGGGAAAATAGTGAAAGTAACCAACATATCAAGAATGTCTGATACTATATGCAAGGTTATTTATTCATCATCCAACAGTTCTGCAAAGAAGAATAAGGGTGTGCCTTCTTGTACCTCTTTTCTATATACAAGGCTAGACAATATAATGTCACAGCATTCACTTTCTATGGATTTGTTGTTGTGTCCATTTACATTGTTGCAGTCATCATGTATAGTTTTCCTCTTTCAACTGATTTTACTGTCATTAGTTCATGACTCCCCATATTTCTTTGTATTCATTGTATTCATGATCTTTTTTATCACACAGTAATATTCCATTACATTCACACATAACAATTAGAGAAGAAAATAGGACCAAAGATAGAACCTTGGGGGATACCCAGTCTGGGAGGCCAAATTTGTTTAAACATTCCCCCAACTCAATGGATAGACAATTTATTGCTACTACGAAAGGTCTCCTATAAATATATGAGATGTCTATATGGCCTTTCTTTTTGACAATGATCTCATTGATACATATGCCTAGGATATCTGGATCAAATGATGAGTATTTTAATAATTTTCTTCATAACTCCAAATTGCTTTTCAGAAACATAAAACCAATTAAACCATTGTTCTACCAAAAGAGTTCCTATCTTTCTTTAAGTCCTCTTATATTGACTATTCTTTCTCATTTGTTGGGTATAAGGTAAAACTTGAGAGCTGTTTCAATTTGAATCTTTTTTCTTTCTGATTTGGAGCATTCTTTCAAATGACTGAAAAATATAATTTAGTTAAAAATTAATTACTTGTAAAGGGAGATATTTTCCTTGAATGCAAGAAAATTAAAAGGCATGGTCGTCTAGTCTAAATTGTTTGTATACATCCTTTTTAAAGTCATTAGGGATCTGGGGAATTAACATTTGTATTTTGACCAAGTAGGTAAATGAATAGAATGAGGTTTTTAATGGAGTAAATTAATATTTTTTCAAAGAAATTGTTTCTAACCTGTAAAGGTAAATATTTGATCCTATCCTAAAATGTTTCATTTTTCTAATAATTACAGATGGACAGAAAAGAAAGAAATCTTTGAGAAAGAAACTGGATTCCTTAGGAAAGGAGAAAAACAAAGACCGAGGTAAAGTATTCCATTAACAATGGATTTGGTGGAATTTCTGCACTTCATGAATTCTGTACATGGTTCAGATACATTAAATTAAAATGAAATGCTATACTTAGTCTGTATTTGTTGAAGGTTGGGCTAACTACATGGCGTTAATTGGGTTAATAATAGCATATATACACATGCGTGCATACACATACACACATATATACAATTTAAGGTTTGAAAAAGCATTTTTAAAATATTATATAATTTTATCCTCACAACAACCATGGAGATTAAATGCTATTGTCATCCTCATTTTACAGATGAGGAAACTGAAGCAGTCAGAGGTCAAATAAGTGACTTGCCTAAAGTCACACAGCTAGTGAATACCTGAGATTGGATTTAAACTTAGGACCTCCTAAATTCAGACCCAACCCTCCATGCATTATGCCTACTACCAAAGTAGCCATATAGGGACTTCATGCACTCAGCCGGTTACGATATGGTGCTAACGACTGGAAAGATAGGACTCATTACCTGTACAGGCCAGTTGACCGACCTGAGGCTAAGTGTGGTGCAGAGCCATAGGCTTAATTCCAGATTTAACCATTTGGCAAATTCATGTTGTTAATGTCAAGGACAGAGAGAAAAAGAAAAAAAAATAGGAAAAGTAGGAGGGTGTTGGATAAGAGTAAGACTGGCTTTTCCCACCAGACTTAGAGCTAGAAAGAACTGTATAAATCATATAGCGCAAATTCAAACATCCAGTACTTCGTTTTTTCATTTCCAAATCAGAAGACTATAAATTTATATGATGTGTCATCATCTACCAGTGTATGACTCTGTTTAAATTTTCCTGTCTAAGCCTTATTCTGTGGTTTTTGCCAGTCATGAAAACTAAGCTATCCTAAGGGGAAAACAAAAAAAAATGTAAAAAGAAAAAGAGAAGAAAAGAAAATGACTGATGAGATTTTTCTTTTTAAAGCCATAGAAAAGAATGGAAAAGAGTTCAGAGTTAGACAGATAAAGAGAACAGCCAGGAAACTTAACATGTTTAATTTTTGTATGCTTTTTTAAAAAAGCAAGCTATAATAGACTCAAGATTTCATACAGAATCTTCTTTTTAAAATTTTCTATACAGAAATGATGCTATTAATTGGTATTTGTGGTTTAGAATAACAAAATGTGTGTGTGTGTGTGTGTGTGTGTGTGTGTGTGTGTGTGTATACTTTTAAAGTCTAAATCTTCCTTTGTTGGGACTAAGGTCAAAGTGGACCACATCAATATGGCTCACTATGCCATGGTTAATTTCTAGAGATATACATTAATCAAAAAAACCAAATGTTTTCATACTTAGAAAGATAGATGAATACACATGTATATGTGTGTGTACATATGTATTATATACATATGTATATATGTATTATACATATGTGTATGTGTATATACATGTACAAATATATGTATATGCATATATGTGTCTATGTATATGTGTGTATGTGTATAGATAGATAGATAGATAGATAGACAGACAGACAGACAGATAGATAGATATATAGCTAAGTGGCACCGAGTCCTAGGCCTGGAATCAGGAAGACTCTTCTTCCTAAATTCAAATGTGGCCTCAGACACTTACTAGCTATGTGACCCTGGACAAGTCACTTCACCTTGTTTCCCTCAGTTTCCTCATCTGTAAAATGAGTTGTAGAAGGAATGGCAAACCACTCCAGTATCTTTGTCAATTTTTTTTTTTAGGCAGTTGGGGTTAAGTGACTTGCCCAAGATCACACATCTAGTAAGTGTCAAGTGTTTGGTCTGAGGCTGAATTGGAACTCAGGTCCTCCTGATTTCAGGGCCAGTGCTCTATCCACTGTGCCACCTACCTGCCCGTTCCAGTATCTTTGTCAAGAAAATATCCAAATGCAGTCATGAAGAGTCAGACACAACTGAAAATAGCATAAATATACACATATGTGTATACACCTACATATATAGATACACATATATATAACATATGTATGTATTAATTATTTAGAATGAATATTGACCAAATTACTTTTTTAAAAACCCAGAGACACAGAGCTATCCAGTAAATGACTTCATTTCTCTGTAGATAAAAGTTGGCACTTGACTATAGAAGTAACTCTACTGATTTTGTTTGTGTAATGCATGTGACATACTGCTCTGTAATTAAAAGACCTGCATTCAGGTCTCAGCTTTGCAACTCATATGTAAGTAACAGAGGCAAGTCACCTTGCCCTTCTAAGCCTCAGTGTCCTCATCTGCAAAATGAGAATTATAATATTTGAGCTTCCTGCCTCATAGAGTTGCTGTCAGGAAAGTACTTTATGAACTTGAAAGACTAGAAAAATACTAGGCTTAGAGTCAGAATGTCCTCTTGTGTTTGAATATTCCTTCAGACACTTGTGAGCTTTGTGACTCTGGGCAAATCACATCACATCTCTCGGTCTCAGATTCCTCATCTGTAATAGGGATAATAATGGCACCTAACTCACAGGGCTATTGTAAGAACCAAGTTGAGATTCTAAATGATCTGTAAATCTTAAAGAATTAAATAATTGTATATAATTGTTATCATTATAGAAATGTGAGCTTCATAAGGGAGGAAAAGTGGTACTTTTATTTAAAAAAAAGGACCCAAATGGTTAAGGCCTTTCTAAGCCATCATGAACACTTAGAGATCCCTACTATAATGTACTCTCTTTACCACTAACTGGTGATATTGGCTCTTCATTCCTACAATCTGGGAGGGTAACAGTCGCATTTTAAAGCTCATTGCAGTCACCCAAGCTAGAAGTTACCAAGCTATGAATAACTTTGGCCCAGTCAGTATCTGAGGAAGGAAACAAATCTTGGAACAATTAAGGAATTTCTGAGCCAAGTCTCCTGAGTTTTCAAGAGTGAAAATAATCATTATTTTATAGCTAATATTTATTATAGTCTTTTATAGTTTCTAAAACTTCATAAAGTTGCGATGAAACAACCACTGTATTTGATATCAAAGGACATGCTGTTTAGTATTTTGGTTATCTTGGGGGAATCATTTCGTCTATCTGGTCCTCAGTTTTCCCATTTGTTAAATAAAGGAGATGGATTAGAAGGTTCCTAAGGTCTCAGGTGCCTCCAATAGAACAAAAATGCCTTTAGGGAGGACTGTCTTCTTTGTTTTGAACCCCTGCTGTCTAGCTCAATGTCTGACATTAGTAGGATCTTATTTAGTTGAATAATCTTCAGGTCAAGTCAATAAGCATTTATTAAGTCCCAGATACTGTATTAAGCATTAGAGATACAAAGAAAGGCAAAAAAGCAGTCCCTGCCTTCAAGAAGCTCACAGTCTAATGGAGGAGATCACATGCAAAAACTATGTAACAAGATATAAACAGGATAAATTGTAAGCAATCACCAGGGGAAAGGAAGTAGCATTAAGGAAGACTGAGAAAGGCTTCTTACAGAAAGTGGTGTTTTAACCAAAAGTATTTGAAAATAATACTCAAAATTATATATGTGTGTATATTTATACAGATATATGTGTGTTATGTATGTATGTGTATACATACACACACACACACATGCATTATCTCATTAGATCCTTCCAATAACCCTGTGAGATAGGCACTGTATTACTGAATCCCAGAGATGTTAAATGATTTGCCTAAGGTCACACAATGTTAGAGGTATGATTCAAACCCAGATCTTTATACTCCAGGTATACCACACTTTGTACTACAACCCCATTGCCTCTTAACATACAACCCTGCTAAATATATAATACAAGCATTATTGTGATGAGTAGGATTTCAACAGGTATATGAGGAGCAAGGACAGGAGGAATTTCTTCCAAAAGACCCCAATGTTTAATATTATTGGTTTTAAAGTTGATGTATTCTAGTGTGGAATATAAACTAACGTGAGGAATAAAATGCTTAGAATTTAAATTCCTGTAGTTCACAAAGAACATGTACAGGCTCAAGTCATCAAACTGAACATTGTTTTAGAAGAAAAATTTATACTTTGTTCTTAACTGTGAGGTGCACACATGTATATGTGTGTGTGAGTGTGTGTGTGTGTGTGTGTGTACATGCATCTTCCTCTCAAAGGAAGAGATATGACCAGCTTACTGTCAAGAATGGTAGGAATGTTAATTTGCTAAGTAGTAAATATAAGTGGGACCACTGCAAATTCTCAAGGCCAAATAGAATTTTTATATCTTTAATGTACTTACCCTCACAATTTCTCAGGAACCTTACTCTTCTTCCAATATGGTACTAAATTTAGCCTTGCAAAAAAACCCAAAAACAAACTTTAACATAGCATTCAATCATTTAGAATTTTTTAATTTTAATTTAATTTTATCTTTATTTGCCACTTTTATCTAAAATAGCATTCATTATAGAGGTTAAGTACACATTGCCAGTAGGAGAGGGTGAACCATTCTTTCTGATGTCAAAATATGATTAATTTAATGGGTCTATGGCAGGGGGGAAAAAATCAATCCCAAGTATAAAAGCAGCCAATATTTACATAGAACCTTGCAGTTTGTCAAATGCTTCTCTTCTAAAGTGCCTGTGAAATTAAGTTTTACAGCTATTATTATTATTAGTAGTAGTAGTAGTAGTAGTAGTATTCCCGTGTTACAGATGGGAAAACTGAGGTTCAGGTAAGTGTAAGTAATTTGCCTAAAGCAGGGGTTCTTAATCTGGAGTGGCCCATTAACAGTTAGTTAGATAATGGAAGTCGAATCGCTGTCACTTATTTTTACCTTCTGTTGAGTTTTGTTTCATCTTTCTGATGGTTCCTCCTATTGGTTTTAATTTTTACTTACAACTTCACTAATGTGAAAATATGTTTAATGGGTATGTAAATGTAAAGCCTATATCAGATTGTGTGCCATCTTGGGGAGGGGGGGTAGGAAGGGGGAGAAAAATTTTCAACTCAAAAGCATATGGAAGTGATTGTTGATAAATCAAAATAAATTAATAAAATCTTAAAAAAAACAGATAGATAGATAG